CCCAAAGGACCCTGCCACAAACAGAACAAAAATGGGGGACAGGTTAATATCCATCCTGGGCAACATCCCAGGGCCTGGTCTGGGGTGCATGGGAATTGTGACTATGGCAAGGTGCCTGCTTCTGGGTCAGAGAATGAAGGATGTGATTCAGCAGGCAGCTTCACTTGTCATGTCCCTGATTTTGAAGTTTGACTTGTGTAGCAACCCTCACTGCTTCTCAACCACCATTTTGGTGCATTAATTTCCTAGATAGATCTTAATGCTTTAATGGCAGGAGGGGGTGGGTAGTTTGAGGAATGGGCACAGTGGGTCCATCTTATGCAGCTAGAATATGGTGGGGTTTTATTTTGGGACATGGCTCTGTAAAAGAAAGCGGTCACCCTTAAAACTGGGAGGGCTTCCAATCCAAAGAGAAATTACAGCCACCGCCCAATTTCAGAGACTTTCTATTACACATGTATTATTACAAAAAAACAAACAAAACCCCACCCAGAAAACTCAAAGGATATAAAACAAATCCAGAGTGAAATTTCAGATGGACTGGCCTTCAGCTTTTGGAGAGAAACAGGAATTTATGCTCCCTCAACAACCCACTTTAAAATGTTGCCTTTTCTCTGCTATTTATTATAGAGGTGCTGGAGTTAGTGTGGGTATGGGGAGGGAAGGAGATCTCAGGACGTTATTGTTTTAAACATCAGCAAAAGGAAGAAACTGTACTTTCTGGAGCACTCTCTCTTAGCTGGACTTTGATCAGCCCTGAGGACAGTGTTCCCTCTAATTTCAGTCATGTGTGGAATAAATATTGTTTTGTGCACTGTGATTTCTACAGATGTGCACCATCAATGGAAACACGTGCTGCTGGCTATGGGCATGCTGCAAGTCAGCAGGGAGACATTTAACTCTCTCTTGGGTGGCCTCACAAAAGGCACTCTCTCTTAGCTGGACTTTGATCAGCCCTGAGGACAGTGTTCCCTCTAATTTCAGTCATGTGTGGAATAAATATTGTTTTGTGCACTGTGATTTCTACAGATGTGCACCATCAATGGAAACACGTGCTGCTGGCTATGGGCATGCTGCAAGTCAGCAGGGAGACATTTAACTCTCTCTTGGGTGGCCTCACAAAAGGCCCACGGTACTCAACACCTGCTGAGCCTGCATGTAATTGTCATGATCTGGAAGAGAGCCCATGGCTACTGCTGATATTCCAGCAGTGCCCCTATGAACTCTGCACCCCTATGCCAGAGGGTTTGTGTATTCTTCATGTTGCATGTCCTGCCCTTAGGAAATTGCCAATGATGAAGTGCCAATACTGCATATGATAGATGCCACTGCAGAGCAGTGGCAAGGGGGACACCTGTCCCTCACTAGAATGGAATTCAGATCCCATGCCCAGTCTCTTCGGTAGGGTGAGGACTGCGAGGACCTACCCTGCCCTTGCAAATGTGAATTTCCACTCAGAGGCAGGTGGATGTTCGTGCAGAGAATCCCACACACCTCCTACCCAACAAGCTCCAAATCCCCACACTCCCTTTTGCTTCTTTTTTTTCTCCCCCTCCATACAGAGAACACCTGGGGCCTGTTATCAGAACTGCAGCTCAAAGGTGTCTCTGAGGGAGCACCATGTGAGCCTGTAACTTTAAAGAGAATGACCAGTCCTGCGGCACCTTAGAGACTAACAAATATATAGAGGATCATGAGCTTTCATGGGCAAAACCCACTTTTACAAATCAGCTCCAATTTTCACCTCCAAGAAAGCAGAGCTGGGCTTCAACCCCTCAGCCCATTTACCTGGTACTTTCCTAGCCAACCCACTGGCTACCAACAACATTCAGCCAGAGGAAACATGTCCCCGTCCGGAGATGCAGCATCACCAACCAAACCCAAGGAGTCTCACGATGGAGCATCATTAACTACTCTCTGAGTGGCCTGCCACTTTTTTTTTAGCCCTGTGGACCCCTGCTAGGAGGAAGCCAGCTAGTAAAGAGGCTGCACAGGTTAGTAGCAGTTTGACGCAAGACCTCCAAACACATTGGATCTTGTTTCCTTGACAAAGTCCCTGTTCTGGAGGGGACATGTTTTTGCTTCTGTTTCTCAAGCTCACCTTTCAGGAGGGGAATGGCTGTCTGGATGGGAGGGGGAGACTGTGCAGCTGTCACAAGACGCTGGAAAGCTTTGTGTGTTCTAGCAGCTATAAAGATATTTCTGGTGGAAACCAGGCCTGGTAATAAATTACTTGAAGCGCCAGGCAGCCTGGGCATATCTTATAATAGAAAGTGTGTTTGCAAAAGATAACACACCAGCACACCCCAAGAAACTGATAAATAATTCCCACGCGCTTATTTTATGCGGAAGAAGCATATGCTGCAATCCCCTGTCAGTTACAGTTCTTCCTAGCCATATGCTGCAAACGTCTTTACCAAGCAGAAGCCAGACTGTTTAAATAGCTGGTGCGTTAGCAGCCTGAGGGACTCTGGAGACCCCCTGAAAGAAATGGGCCCTGGGAGAGCTGTCAGTGGCCAGGCGCTGGCCATGTTAGGAGCTTGCACTATGTGGAAGTATGCCTGGATGGGAGGGGCCTCAATGCACACCCATCTGGCCATGATTTTAGCCCACAGTCCCTTTAATTAAAACCTCGGCAGCAGCAGGCCATGGCCCTACAGATATAGTGTCTTGAAGGCCTTGATAAGGGATCTATTATCAAGAACCTCCAGGCACTAGGCTAAAGTGCTTGACTAGTTGCCCATAAAATTGAGCAGAACATATGCTTGGTCCTAACAGCAGCTGGTGGCACTGAGGAACAGCATTTATTACCCACCCTAGAAGTCACAAAGTGGTCCTGAAAAAGTGGGGGAGTGTATCTTACTGTGGGAGCAGCATGGCACCCTATGGTGACCCAGCTCAGTAAAAAACACCCTTTTTATTTCCAGATCTGCAACCCCATATGAACTCCCGTCTCCTCCCCCACTTCACACAAGCACGCACACCTTGCTGCAGGACTCTCTCAACGGCCACGTTTCAGTAACCACATCCAAGATTCACAATGTGATGCTTGCACAGAATTGGCTGGTCACATCAATCATCCAATATCTGGGGCCACAGCAAACGTCAATGACTAATAATGTATTTGATTATAAGCTCCAGTGTTCATGCAGCCCTGGCTGGCTCAAATCTTTCACTCAGGAAACACAAACACTACCATGTGATTTACGAGGGTATCCAACATAGCGTAAGCTATACGTTGTGAATATTTGCAAGGCACTGCAGAAGAACTGCTTGCTTTGGCCTACCAGAGAGCCAATGGTTCATTTAAGAGCTGCAAAGGGGATATTTTGATGTATTTCACAGACAGTTTCAGATTCTGCCACTGGGACTTGTCACTGACTAGCACTTTGTTTGGTGAGATGCTCAACAGGGAGGGACTTTCACATAGGAATTTATGAATATATTCAAATCACTACAAGAATTTTGCAGTTGGTTCACCTATCATATTGGTTAGAGGATACTAACCCTATAAGATCCTATCCATCTCCACAGAAACCCATCTGAGCTAGCCACTAAAGACTAGTGAAATGTTATTCAATAAACCCAAATGGAGTGAAAAAATAGAGTGTGTTTTTTTAATTAATGTTGAAGAGAGAATTGCATGTAAAATATAAATTGTCTAGCAAGAACCCAACAGGAAGGAGGCATCATCATACTCAGAACAGGCACAGTAGCTACTGAGCAGCCCTTTTAAAAAGCATAATGGCCTTGGTCTCCAAAATAACGCAAGCAGATTGATTATTGGCACTGTGTTATTTGCTATGTTTCATTTCTTAAAGAAAAAAAAACCGAACTTTGATTTCATTTTTGGGTTTGCAAAGAAGTAGCATGAAGCGCAACATTCCATGTGGTTTACACTGGCATACTCAGAAAACCAGATGAAAAGCAGATGAAGTGATTTTTCCCCTAAGTTTAAGTGTTATTTATAAATGCCCTGCTGGGGTAGGAGTGCTGAATGCCAAGATTCTGGTGCAAGCGAAATTAGTTTGGCTGATTAACAAATTCCTGACAACTGAGGTTGACAGTGGAAACTTTGACACAGCCTTAACTACAGACGGGCAAACGTGCAGCTCCATTGATCCATTCCTTCCTTTGTTTACCGATTGTTAGAGCCACGTGTGTAGCTAGCACGATGGCAAGAGGCCTGTCAGCCTCCTGCACGGTTAGAAATCGATTCTGAACTCCCCATGAATATTATTGCTGTGACTAGCCCCAGAATGGCTCCACTCGAAGAACATGCAGAGCGTAGGGTCCGCTCAAGCAAGCAGCAGGGCAAATTTCTGCTCATTCAAGTTTGCAAGGTGACAAGTCAGGACAGCACTTAAACATCTGCTGAAGTCCAGACCTATTCAGGAAAACACTTAACCAGGTGCTTAACTTTAGCCTGCACTTAAATCCCATTGAATTAATTGTGCTATATTGAATAGGGATGTTTTCCTGACCTGGGGCCACTAGGAGCTAACGGGAGAGCCAGTAGCTCCTTTCACATGTTCTATAATTTATAACATTTTACACAGCTTGGTAGGAGGAACAGATTTCAGTGCTGTGGCAGGAAGAAGCAGACTGAGGAATGGAGAGCAGGGGCTTCTCAAGGTAAGATTACACCTCTCTGGATTACTGCCCCAGTAGCATCACTTGATTGCAGATTGAGAGCAGGAGCCCAATCCACAGCAATTCAGGGTTTGGAGTGTGGCGCTCTGCAAGTCTGGAAAGCACAAGAACGGGGAGGAAACCCCAAAGCAATAATTTTAAGTGGAGGGTAACATTGGTGCTGGAAGATGTGGGCTGCACATCTGAGTCTGGTCAGTTTCTGATAAGTCACTGCTGGAAAGATCACAGATGGCTCCCTCCTTTGCCGAAACTCCAGGCCTCAAAAAGAGAGAAGA